AATAAAATCTTAAAAAAAAAAAAAAATGTCAGTAGTGCTGAGGTTGAGAATCTCTGATTTAGTTTGACAATCTCTGATTTTAATTGAAGCAATTAGTCCACTTACATTTAATGTAATTATCAATAAGGTTAACTTTAAATCTGGTATCTTGGTACTTGTTTTCTATTGTCCTATTGGTTCTTGCTCTGTTCTCCTTTGTTACCTTCTTTTGAATTAATCAAGTGGTTTTCTTTTTAGCACTCTATTAATTTTATTATGCCTCTTTATTTTAATATATCTTGTTCTTCAAAGTTTTTATGTATGCATGTATTTATATCAGTATGGGCACATAGTTTCCTATTTTACTCAATGGGCTATAGTCTGCTACTATCACTGTTTATTGTTCAAATTATCTCAGCTCTGGCCATTGGGAGTTGCTTCAAGCTGACATTTGTGCCTTTTTAACTGTTACCTCATATTCTTTGAGCATTGATTGCTTTCTGGAACTAATAGATATTCCAGGCTTATCTTGTTCTTTTGCTGCTCCAGCAAAAGTTACAAGAAGTAATCAGTTTTTTCTCCAAAGAACCCTGGTTTCTTTTAGTGGAGAATAATTAAGAAGTCACAATATGGGATCTAGGTGTATTCATTGCTTTTGGGGGCACTAGTAATCTCAAGGTCTCTTACAGGCAAAGTTAAGGATTATAGGTACAAAAATACACACACATAAATGTTTAAACATATTTACATCTCTATTAATTTATCTATCAACTACTTCTTCCAACCCAACATCTTAGAGGTCTTTCTAGGTCTATTTTCATATTTGCAATTCTCTTTTGGACAGAAAAATATGTTCCTATCATCCTTAATATATTTTTATATTTGATAAATCTCTCCTGTGTAACCAATCTCCCATTATCCTCTCTCCCCTAGCCCTAGTGTGCCCTTCTTAGCACATGCCAGATCACCCCTTTCTGTGGTTCTAACATGTTACGACATCCCATGCCATGGACTACCCACCCTGCCATGAGTGCCATCCAAGGATTTTTTTATTTCTAATATATTTATCAGTCTTAGAATATCTATTTGGTTCTGAAATTTCCTCTTTGCCCATTGTATCCATCCTTTCCTGTAAATTCCTCAACACAACTTAGTTTTTTAAAACATTCTTGTCTGCTAGTAACCTGTGTCTGTTGACTGCTTACTCTTTTTTTTAATGTTTACCTTCTTTTTATTGTTTATTATTTTAATTCTAGTAAAGTTAACATACAGTGTTGTATTAGTCTCAGGTGTACAATATAGTGGTTCAACAATTCAATATATCACTCGTTGCTCATCATGATGAGTGTGCTCTTAATCCCCTTTACCTATTTCACCCATCCCCCCACCTGCCTACTCTGGTAACCATCTGTTTGTTCTCTGTAGTTATGAGTGCTTTGTATTTATCTTTTTTCTTTGTTCATTTGTTCTGTTTCTTAATTTTATGTGAGTGAAATCATATGGCATTTTGTCCTTCTCTGACTTATTTCACTTAGCATTATACCTTCTAGACCCATCCATGTTGTTGCAAATGACAAGATTTTATTCCTTTTATAGCTGAGTAGTATTCCATTGTGTGTGCGCATACACACACCCACACGCACACATATATACCACATCTTTATCCATTTACCTATTGATGGGCACTTGGCTTGCTTCCATAATTTGGCTATTGTAAATAATGCTGCAATAAACATAGGGTTGCATATATCTTTTCAAAGTAGTGTTTTTGTATTCTTTGGGTAAATAACCAGTAGTGGAATGATCATATAGTAGTTCTTTTTTAATTTTCTGAGGAACCTCCATACTGTTTTTCACAGTAGCTGCACCAGTTTGCATTCCTACCAACAGTGCCTGAGGGTTCCTTTTTTCTCCACATCCTCTCCAATGTTTAGTGTTTCTTGTGTTTTTGATTTTAGCCATTCTGACAGGTATGAGGTGATATCTCATTGTGGTTTTGATTTGCATTTCCTTGATGATGAGTGATGTTGAGCATCTTTTCATGTGTCTGTTGGCCAACTGCATGTCTTTTTTGGAGGAATGTCTGTTCATGCCTTCTGCCTATTTTCTAATTAAGTTATTTGTGGTTTTGGTGTTAAGTTCTTTATATATTTTGGATACTAACCCTTTAAATGATATGTCAGTTGCAAATATCTTCTCCCATTCAGTAGGTTGTGTTTTTTGTTTTGTTGATAATTTCTTTTGCTGTGCAGAAACTTACTTGATGTAATTCCAATAGTCTATTTTTGCTTTTGTTTCCCTTGCCTCAGGAGACATACCTAGAAAAATGTCGTTACGGCCCATGTCAGAGAAATAACTGCCTGTGTTCTTTTCTAGGATTTTTATAGTTTCAGGTCTCACATTGAGGTTTTTAATCCATTTTGAGTTTATTTTTCTGTATGGTGAGAAAGTGGTCCAGTTTCATTCTTTTGCATGTAGCTGTCCAGTTTTCCCATCATTTGTTGAAGAGATTGTCTTTTTCCTATTGCATATTCTTTCCTGCTTTGTTGAAGATTAATTGACCATATAATTATGGGTTTATTTCTGGGCACTCTATTCTGCTCCATTGATCTATGTGTCTGTTTTTGTGCCACTACCATACTGTTTTGATTACTACAGCTTTATAGTATATCTTGATACCTGTGATTGTGATACTTCCAGTTTTGTACTTTTTAAAGATTGTTTTGACTATTTGAGGTCTTTTGTGGTTCCATACAAATTTTAGGATTATTTGTTCTAGTTCTGTGAAAAATGCTATTGGTATTTTGATAGGGATTACATTAAATCTGTGGATTGCTTTGGGTAGTATGCACATGTAAACAGTATTTGTTCTCCCAATTCATGAGCATGGAATATCTTTCCATTTGTTCATGTCATCTTCAATTTCTTTCACCAGTGTTTTATAGTTGTCAGACAGGTCTTTCACCTCTTTGGTTAAGTGTATTCCTAGGTGTTCTTTTTGGTGCAATTATAAATGAGACTTTTTTCTTAATTTCTCTTTCTGCTACTTCATTATTAGTGTATAGAAATGCGATGGGTTTTTGTATATTGATTTTGTATCCTGTGGCCTTACTGAATTCATTTATCAGTTCTAGTAGTTTTTTGGTGGAGTCTACATAGTATCATGCCATCTGCAAATAGTAAAAGTTTTACTTCTTCCTTACCAATTTGGATGCCCTTCATTCCTTTTTCTTGTCTGATTGCTGTGGCTAGGACTTCCTGTTGACTGCTTACTCTTGATAATAGGTCTGATTCCTCCCCTCTTGATGCCTTACAATTTTAAAAAATGTATTCTGTATTGTATATAAAAGAACAGTGGAGAGTAAAGTGTAAGTTTGTGTTTGTTGAGGGAGTGCATGCCTTTCACTCTATGGTGATTAGGGAGAGGAGTTTATCCTTCAGAATTCTCCACAAGTTGAATTGAGCTACAGCTGGGCTGCAGCTTTAATTAGATTAAGTTCACCTTCAGTTAACCCAGTCCCTAATCTCCCATGCTGCATCTGTCAAGAGACTGAACAATTTGATTATTTTAGTGTTTGAACTGGAGTAAGAATTGTGTTTCACTTTTAGTTTGGATTCAAATGTGGTTCCAACTCTGGCAATTGTGATGCACAAAGCTACATAAATTCTCTTTGCCTCTAAGTCCGCCTCTACGGCCAGTTTCTTGGCAAAATTCCAGGGCAAGGGAGCATGCTTTTTAGGCTTTTTAGATGGGACCTTTCAGACCCATCTCACCAGCCCACAATATCCTAGAAAGTTCAGCCAGTTTCTTTTTTTCTGCAAAATCTCGTCTATGGCAGCTCCATTTCTAAGTCACCAGCACCCAGACAGGCATGTGTCCCGGGTATAGAAGCTGCTTCAGTCTCTGCTTACTTATGAAGAACTCATCTCTCTTTGGGATTTATTTCACCTAGACTTGCTTGTATATACTACTCTGCAATAGCTCCAATAAATTGTATGTTTATTTTATCTGGAATTTTTCTCATGTTTCCACTGAATCAAAGTTCTTTTGTATTTTATTTTATTTTTTTTTCAAAGATTTTATTTATTTATTTGAGAGAGAGACTGAGAGAGAGAGAGCATGAGAGGGGGGAGGGTCAGAGGGAGAAGCAGACTCCCTGCCGAGCAGGGAGCCCGATGCGGGACTCGATCCCGGGACTCCAGGATCATGACCTGAGTCGAAGACAGTCACCCAACCAACTGAGCCACCCAGGCGCCCAAACATTTTTTTTTTTCTTTAAAGATTTTATTTATTTATTTGAGAGAGAGACTGAGAGAGAGAGAGAGCATGAGAGGGGGGAGGGTCGGGAGGGTCAGAGGGAGAAGCAGACTCCCTGCCGAGCAGGGAGCCGGATGCGGGACTTGATCCCGGGACTCCAGGATCATGACCTGAGCCGAAGGCAGCCGCTTAACCGACTGAGCCACCCAGGCGCCCGCTTTCTTTTGTATTTTATATCCTAACCAGAAGTGGAAGTCAATTTCACGTTTTCATAAAAATGAAATTTATATTCACTTCAAGATAGTGAACACATGCCTTTGTATCTTCTCCTCCAGTTCCCATTAAATTACTAGTAAAGGAACAAGTACATGGTACCATCAAGATGTAGAGAAAGGAAGGATCCTTCTCACCAGACCAGTGATTTCAGTACACATCCAGAAGACAAAATAGAAGAGTGTTGAACTGGGGAGCCAGAGAGAAGCAAGCTGTAGCCTAGTAGCCTCAAAGAAGATGCTTCTGGGGAGGAACCTCTGACCAGTCCAGGACAACCCCCAGAAAGGCTCTAGCACCAAACATTACCGGGAAATTAAGGGAGGGTCTAAAAATTGAGGGTGATATTAGTGCAATTAATAATTGAAGATCTTTGTATTGACCAGTTGCTCCTCTTGGGTATGTTTATGTGCTTGTTGCCAGGTGTTTGGCCCCTTGACAAAATACTCAAAAAACAAAATAGGTCAGTCAGAGAAAGACAAATACCATATGATTCATTCAAAGAAGTATATCCATCATAAGAGGTGGTTGTGAGGATTTAATGAAATCATGTATACAGAAGTACTTTGCACAGTGCCTAGAACATAAAAAAACATTCAGTAGATGATAGCCATTGTCATTTTTATTGTTATTGATGAATTAGTTGCTTTATGTAGAAAGGAATCCAAAGGTTAGGTGTTGGAGAAGAGATATAGTGGATATGGATTACAAATTAAAATCCTCACCCCATTTTCCTTACCAGTACCTACTTGTGTAGAAGAAGAAATCAATGTATGTAAGGACTCCAAAGAACTTAGAAATGTCTATTATAAAATTGTATTAAAATGGCATCCATCTGAAATTTCATATATATAGAAACAAAATTATTTGTTTTGAGAAAATTCATTGTGCTATTTGCATTTCTAAGCCAGAAGACAAAGGATTTCTTTAAAAAAAAAAAAAAAATTCTCTATAGAGTGTCATTAACATCCACTATTAGGGTTTTCTTCAATGTCCTGGGGTTGGAAGGATAGAACAAATGACCTGCTACAAAAATAAAATTGCTTTAAAATCTTCTGACTTACGCTAAAAATTAATGTAAATCCTGCTTATCAGTACATTGGTATATCTTGATATAAAAATACTTTTACTTTACATGGAGTAAACATTGCTGGCCTAGGAAGATACACCATTTTCCTCTCTAATCCTTGGCATACTACTAAAAATCTTCAGTTTGGGGGATGCCTGGGTGGCTCAGCCGGTTAAGCGTCTGCCTTCAGCCCAGTTCATGATCCCAGAGTCCTGGGATCGAGTCCCTCATCCAGCTCCTTGCTCAACAGGGAGCTTGCTTCTCCCCTTGCTTGTGTGCTCTCTCTCTCTGACAGATAAATCTTTAAAAAAAGAAATCTTCAGTTTGGGATAGATCAGTTTTTATAGGTACAGACCAAACAGTAACAACAAAAATTTACTAAAACTGTCTACTTATTCTAATATTTTTAAGTTAATACCTATAAAATGCTGTGAGGTCATCACACAAGATGACTGGTCAATTTTATTTTTTAATCAAAATGGTTTTTATGTATTAATATTTAAAAACCTAGTGATGAACCTACAGATTTCAATTTCAAATCAGCTTTGGTCTAAGTAAGAATAATAATAGCAACAGTACTTCCTAATACACATAAATGTAAATTGCTGTCAACAAAAGTTGCTCAAAGCAATTACTACTTAAATGTCATTGTTTCATACTTGATGTATTATAACTAGTAAATAGGGAAGATCCCCCCAAAGTGAGATACTTGTAGTTTCCCTAGCTTGTTCTCAATCTTTTTATGTTTATAGGCCAATTTTTTCTGACTTTATAGTCTAGTTGTCACTGATGAGCATAGCCAACTTTCTTCTTTGTTCATCACTGTCTTTTAATAATTTCCATTTGTGATAAGTCTCCAATTTGTCTATGTTTCTAATGGGAAATCAATGAAAGATTCAATATCATCGGAGTCTGATGAAAATGAACTCAACCAACAAAAAGCTATCTTTTTTGTGACATGAGCTATATTTTCATTGAAACCTGAGTTTTTCCTTCTTTAATCCTGGCACTACTTTTTAAAAATGTGAAATGTTTGGGGCACCTGGCTGGCTCAGTCAGTAAAGAGTATGGGACTCTGGATCTTGGGGTTGTGAGTTTGAGCCCCATGTTGGGCATGGTGTTTACTTAATAAAAATGTTTTAAAAAATGTGAGATGTTTTCCTTTTACTGATTCTGTAATAGTCTTTAGTAATTAATTTAATGAGGATCTTGAAATAATATCCATTTAAAATTATAAAGAAAATGAAGTAATTTACAATCGAGTTATTCCAATTTCTCCTTAGGATTCTAAATTCACTCAGTCAAAAATATTCTTTTACTACCTCCTATTATGGGGCAAGGCACTCTTCTGGGTAATTGTACACCAGAAATACCAACATGTGTGTTTCTGCCTGAAAAGGGAGGAAGATCTAGTGTGTTTCCAATAGTGGAGATGGTCAAAAGTAATGACAGATCTAACTCCTTTGAGCATTCACTATGAAATATACCTAACAACTTTCTTAAAATCAAACCATTTTCTTCTGGCATACATAATGTTAGCTATCCTCTGTGGAAAGATAATGTGGAAAGTTACTTTAAAGGAGACAACTCTAAATGGCAAAGAATACATATAAAAAGGCAGTACCCACAATAGCAAATATATTTAGGCCAAACTTACAAACAAAATGTAGAGTTACAAATAGATTCTAATTTAAGTTACAAATAGATTCTAATGAAGATTTTAGTTAAAAAAGATCTACCCACTAATGCATTCAATATAAATGCATTTTAATTAGCAATGCAACTTTTAATAAACTTATGAAAACACTGGTCATAAAAATGGTCTTCTGTACAATTCTGTATTAAGAAGAGCAAGATAGAAAGCTACGCAAAGACAAATCCAAATATCCCAGGGAAGAAGAATTTAGTCAGAGCAAACTAAAACAAAAATTCTTAATGAAATAATAGCCTAACTGAAAAATTATAGGAAGAGAAAGAACTTGGCTCGTTAATTCATCATGGAACAGTATATAGTTTTTTAAAAGATGTTTTTAGGGGGTGGGGTTTTTCTGGTTTCAGCAAGATATATAAGAAAACAAATTAAATCAACATTATGTTGAAAAACATCTCCATGTTAACTATTTTTTAGTGGGGTGATAAAGTTTTGCCCTAAAGTATTCCTATCACTCCCAGTAACTCCTTTGTAAACATATGGTATATAAAATGAAAGCCATAAGAAAATTATCCTTACTGTCAGATCTAGTTTTTAATCTTTAAGTTAGAGTAACCAATCAATTTATCTCTCCTATAATGTTCTTTCTCCATATTATATTCTGTCAGTTACTTTACTGTTTTAAAATGGCTGCTTTAATTTAGGATGCCACCTCTTGTCATTTCATAGTTTTTTGTTTGGGAGGAGAATTCATCGAAGTGGATATTCTGTAACTTTGTGGTTATTAATTGGCTTGAATCACATTTTTAGCTCAGAACTTTTCTGGTCATAGAAAATGAATTATCAGAACATTAGCTTTGTGGCTGTAAAGTCTGCTACCTTTGAATCTGATTGTTAGTACCATCTTAATACTACTTTATAAAAAATGCAGAATATACCTTTATATTTGGCTTTCTCAGAGTAAAGATATATCCTTTAATTAAAGCTAATTTGCTCAATATTGGCTTGGAAACTTAAAAGATTTTACTTAATACTAATATTTTTGTAGCTATAAGCTCATAATTTTAACACTTGACTTTTCTGCTATACTAATTCTGAATAGTAATGAAACATTAAACTATTTCATTTGGATAATGTTGATATGAATATGTAACCAAATATTGGAAAATTTCAAATCAACCTGCTACCAACCATGAACTCTAATAACACATGGGCATTTTTTATGACTATCACTTTTAATATATTAAAATTATTCAGTAACTTTTTTTGCACATTACATGAAAAATTAATTTTTAAAATTTTATTCAAAGCATTAGGAAAATCATATTCAAAACACAGAAATCATCAGACTGTAACAAGGCTGCATAGATAGTAGTATACGAGGTCCCTGACACTAAGTGACTTCTACCTAACAAAAACTTCAATGTTCAAGTCACCAGGTAGAAAATGGTAGAGGCATTAGGTCCTCTCTCTGAGGCTAGAAAAATGGCTTCAGTGGTGAGAAGTCACACTTTAAACAACAAAGATTAGATTATCCCCTAATTTACTTCTACTCCCCTCTTGTTATTTCTCAGATATGAAAATTTAGAATGTAAGGATTACTAGAAGGGAACAGGGGGTAAATTACCTCTTAGGGGATACCCTGATCAGTGCCTGCTTTAATCAGACAAAACACTGAATTAAGTTTTAAAAATTACAACCACACCATCATGCCTAACTAAAATTGCCAACACGAATACTTTTTTTACATAATACATTACATGTATACAAGAAAAAAAATGACCTGTTTTCAATCCTTTGACCTTCAGTAGAAAAAAATGTCATCACTAATGAGAGATCTGAAAGGTAATTTTCATGGCAGAGCATTAATTCCATAGAGATCAAAATCATTTCTGAATAGCGAAAATAGCCTAAATCAATGAGAAATTGCTAAATTTTTAAAAAGTTTACTTTTTGAAAGGGAAGACAATTTATTTGGAAGGAATTTGTAGCGGGAAACATTGTTCATTAAAACATTACCCTGAGAAAGACTCTTAAAATTGCCAGTGCTTTCAGAGCCCCTCCCTCCACCCCAACAATGCAGGAAGGAGCGATTTGTAGGCTTCTAGCCTCTTACAGTTACCTACAGGAAGAATGTTTTGATCTCAACAGTCTTTTGGGCTTTACTACTACACTGGTAATAGGCCACAACCAAGACATCTGAATGGTAGACTATAAGCAAATTTTTGCACTCATTTCAGGCTTCTCCCTTTATCCTTTTTTAAGAAAGAGTTTGTAATTCTTCAAATAGTCTTGGACTCAAACCTGTTGACAAAAAAAAAATCTTTTTGTAAGCAAATTGGAAATTTTCTTATAGTAGTAAACAGTCTGGTCTACAGTCTCTAATCTATGCCTAGAAAATAAGGCATTATTAATTCTTCATTGGCCACTGCAGAGCATAGACAAGTGTTTTCTTTCTAATCAGAGGCATATGCAAACATTCCTCAAAGTGCAGTTATTTTTAACCTCTGTGATGCATTTACACGGCATCAGCATTTACGACTCCTTACATACTTGTAGGATAAAATGCTTACTCCCAACATCTTACATACACCATAATTACTTGAGAAAAGACAAAGTGAGAGCAGCTACAGAAGTAGCAAGGTGTTTTTCACAAATAAAAAAACCATATACAAAAAATGGCAAGTTGGTGGTAACTGGTAGTATGAACTCTCAATAATATTCCACTTTGGGTTCCAAATTAAGATTTGACAAGTTTGAAACCTTGTCCTGTGTCCAGCACAGTAGGAAGAAACCAACTCATTTTTAATCTTTTCAAACACCTAAAACAACTTTTGCAGATCCAAAAAAGGTTCAGACCGCACAACCAATTTGCCAAATGCACCAGTGGATATGTAATACGAGGGAAGTGTAACATCCAGTGCTTGGCCACATCGCTGCCTGTTGGCAGATGCAGAGTGTAGTCACTCCACCGCTTTGACACACCGTAGACTGCTTTCACAGTGCGTCCCTTTTCAGTCCAGCAGATGTTATTACTGGGGTTGCAGTTATATTCTACCCAGTCCTTTGTAAAGTCACCCAGCTGTGGTGGGTCAGCTTCTTCAATATCTATGGTCTTTGTCATCTCTGCTCCTTGCACCGCAATGTACTGATCATTGATTTTTCTCACTTCTTTCACCCACGGAGTTGAATTCTCACTGTCTAATACGATAATAAGGCGAGAACAGAAGGAGGCATTCTTTTCTCTCCACCATTCTAAAAGTGTGTCAAGGCGCAGTATGTCTCCACCTGTGAACAAAAGAAAATTCAATAGAGTAATAATTTCTGAAGCCCTCTTCTTAAGTATAGTTTAAGTTCCTGGAATTAAAGATGTAGGCCAAAAAAATAGATGGAATCTTCCTTTCAAAAGTCTCTTGTCAGATGAGTTTTTTAAAAACAGACTTTCAACTTCAGGTAAAAAAAAAAAAAAAAAAAAAATCCTCGTTATATTAAAAAAGGAATAGGTTATAATAAATTAAGAAAATTGTTTTTATGAAACATAAATTACATATTAAGATCTTCTTCCCACTGCTGTCTCTGATAGTGTAAAATCTGAAATGACCAGGAGGAATGGAAATAAATTGTGAGGGAGAATTATAATAAAATGGTATTTATAAAGAAATTTTAATGACAAGAAAATGTCTATGATACTAGGAGAAAAAGCATAACATGGAAGTCTATCTTCTTTATGAACAATTAATATTCTTTTATTCATCAGCCTACTATATCTTAGACTCTTGACAATGAAAAAGCTGTTTCATGAATTGTTCTTATACTCGTGCTTATCATTTCAGAGCCACTATTTCAATACATGGTCTCCACGTATTACTAATGTGTTGCTTCACAGAGAGCTCCAGAAGATACCTTTTATTATATGGTAAAATGTTAACTTTTCATTATTGCCAGTTCTCTTCAATTTCGCTAGAGATCAGAGAATGACACAGATTACAAGAGCTATTATACAAAATCCATCTGCCACAAAACATCATTGTCTAACTTGCCTTCTACAACTATTTCAATAAATATTCTAAAAGCATGTTCTACACTAATTCTCTTATATACATGCTCTTTAGATATCAATAAAAGATTTAAAGGGGCATTAAAGCCTTTTCATATGACTATTTCTCTTCTCTGTTTGGTTTGCTCTGCTTTCTCCTATGAATAGGTTCTATGTTGCATTTGGCTTTTGGCCCAGATGGAAAGTACTTAAATTTATCTCAGCTAACAGCCATCTGATGCAGTTAAAGTAGTTGAGACTGCTTTTTAAAGGCTTTGTTTATCTGTGATAAACTGCTTTATAGATTGTCTACATTTTTTTCATTTATTTCTCTGTCTTTATCATAATTTTTACTCTGAAACAAAGAGGCAAAAATAGCCGATTCCATATTATGAAACTCCATAAATGTAAGGAGACTACTACCTCTTCTAAGAAGTATTGTGAGTAAAGTTAGGTGATATAAGGGCAAATACAGATTTTCTTTCTCATAGTGGTATTTAGTTCTGGACCTGCTCTTAACTTGCTAACTCATGTAAAATCCAGTCATGATGTTTTCTATTTTATAGGTTTTTAGAAAGATATAATTCTCAGAGCTCAAAGCTGTCACGTGGGCTGGAATAGATTAAAGCATTTTCCTCTGAGCAGGAGGGTTCAGTAGTATTTTTGAGTACTATCTGCCTTTGAGGCTATGTCTCTAGCAGCCCAGGGCAGGAACTGACTGAAAGGAAGGCTCAGCCTCTATGCCTGGTTCAACCTGGATACCTCAAAGTGGGCTTGGCGCCTCAAGCTGAGAGAGTATATAGAGTTGCTGAATTAGGATGGATGAACCTACCCATCCTGAAGGCAGGGCTACGTGCTTTTTCCATTGTGTTCTTCTACTTTTTAAAATAAAGTCTTCAACAAAGAAAGTTACACCTACAAGAACAAATCTTCTTGGCTAAGAGAGGAATTCTATAATGGTCAACTCATTGGTGACATAGTCAAAAAATATTATAAAGATACCATTCCAGAATGTAATTGCTAGATATTTACCTAAAATATAGTCACACTTTAGAGTTTTTAAGTCTTCATAAATTATTGCTAACTCATAGTGAGTGAAAATTTAAGAACACTGATGTATATGTTATTTATCTTGGTGTCTATTATTTTTCCTAGGAAAAGAAAAAGTTGATGTAAATAGTAGTAAACTGTACATCTAGAATTTTTTCCCAAAGCCATTGTTTAAAAGATACTTGAAATAAATTTTTAAAAGATTTAAGAGGAAAAATATAAACTTACTGAAAAATGCTTATATTAATAAATCCTTCATGTAAACATAGAACAAGCTTACTTTTAAAATTACTTTCTTAAAATACTTAAAATAACCAAGGATATATGCATGACCACCAAAATTATAACTTTTCCCCCCATTTGATTTGGGGAGAGTTCATTATTATAAACATTACAGTAAGTTTTCAATAATCAATCCTGGGTTGTAGGTCTGAAATTCTATTTCTGTAAAGATTTCTGAATTGACCAGAACTTTTTCTTCTGTGCTCTAAGGTCAAGTACACAGAATGCTATACTTTACCTAGAATTAAAATAGCCATAAGGGCTTAAAAAGTTTTCTACATTGACTTATTAAAAAGTTACAGGTCAAGTAAAAGATTTCACAAACTATATTCAAGTAATTTTGATGTGGACTACCTTCTTCGACAGTATTTAGAAAATGGGTGAACAGTGCTAACAAAAATATCTACTAAACCAGAACGTGATTTTCTCTACCTTAATGGTTTTAGCCTTGGCAGCACATGGTACAATGGGGGAAAAATACACTTTAAGGGGTTAGGCAGAAAAAAAAATTATTTCTGGATTTGAATCATGGTTCCATCACTTACCAGTTGTATGACCACAGATATGTAACAACTTTAGATTTTCATTTTATTCTTTGAAAAATGAAGATGATAGAGGTGATAGTACTTACCTCAAAGTTTTTTAAGTGAAGATTAAATTTAATGTATATAAAGTACCAAGCATAGTAACTGCTTCAAATGTGCCCAATAAATGTTTGCCTTCACTCCTAGACAGCCATTAAGTTATTCAATATTTATTTGCAAAACCAAAAATTACAACAGTATTTTTATGATGAAACCCTCATTACAAATCTAGCATGAAATTAGTGAGACCATGATGGTTTAAAATCATCTCTATTTTAACCTTTAATCATCTCTACTTGGAGTTCTTATGTTGGGAGCTCTACCTCTGTCCTTCCAGAACACTTCTGTTTATATTTGTCCTTGATCTGAGTATCTATTTCTACTTATGTCTATTTTATTATTTGTAGGTGTTCTTAGTATAAAACATCTGTAATATTTAAGGAAAAAGCAGGATAGAATTAAGTTCTAAAAGAACTATTTCTAACATAAAATAAGAAAATTACCCCCCTTCCCCCCCCTTGCCCCATGATTCATTCAATGTTCTGTTACTTGACGATCCCTACTAGGGATCTGCTAGGCTCTGTTCTAGGTGCTAGGCAAATAATTCAAAAAACAAAGCCCATGACTTACATGGTCTCTCTTCTAGTTGGGAAGCCCAAAGAACAAATTTACATATAATATAGATCTCATTTAACCATTGGCAAGAAGATTTAATATTACCCCCTCATTTTACAGAGGAGAGAACTGAAACTGAGAGAAGTGAGTGACAAAAATAACACTGTTGTGACAAAATCAGGACCAGAACCAAGGTCTCCTGACCTAAGAGCTACTCCCACCATATTATCTCACTTGCTATTTAAACTCCTGGTGAGCTAACTTAAATAAAACTGCACATGCACAGAACTATTGAAATCAGCATCCATAACATTTAAAGACTTAGAAGTATTAGTCAAGTTAATCAGCTTCTGAAAAATGTAACTATATTTAATAATTCTGAAAATACATTAAAGGGAAACTGATAATGTCTCAGAGTAAGCAGATTTTTTTCTTCCAACTAAGACATAATTCTCAAAACCTTTAGAGATTACTAATACTATGCTAAACAGGTATGCTAGAGAAAAACAAAACAGTCATCTGTATACTTAGTAAACTGTGAAGTAGAAAATTGAGAATTTTGGAAATTTAATGTTTCAGTGTGAAGGGTAGACTTCCATAAAGAGGTTTATCTTCATAACAGTTAAATTGCCGGAGGTGCATTTACCTGCAAGAGCCCACTCTCCTGTGCCATGGGTGTGCCCACTGTAATACAAAACATACGTATCATGTCTAGGTCCATCCACAGTCCGAAGTTCAAGGAAAGATTTCAGTTTGGAATGTAGCGTATCAAAAGACAGTCCACTTGTGGAATAGTCACATCCATAGGTCTCAATCATATGATATGCAAAAAATCTCTGGATAGCATTGAGCATGCCAGTAGACCTCAAATTTAACTCCTGTACATGTTCTGGGGGAAGAAGTGTTGGCTGACCATCAGGACTGAAGAAAAAAAAAATTATTTTGGTGTTTAAAGAGTGTCATTCTATGTCACATTCTTATTCTTCATTTATAATTATCTCAGCATCGTAACAGTTGCTGACAACTAAATGGCAGAATTTTTTTTTAATCCTCTTTTCTAAAGTGCTAAGAATTAAGCTTGAACATCAAAGCTTAGTTTCTAAAAGTTGTATTTCTATATAACTTTTATATAGCCAATAAAATAATCACCAAACTGAAAGCTGGGAAAAGATCTCCAAAAGTAGATAATACTATTCTTTGTTCTATATTCATACTCTTTTACCAAATGACAGATATTGAATAAGACTTTCTAAAAGCAAGATCATACTGATTTTACCCCGTGTTTCAAGAACACTACAGGTGAGAATTATAATGAAAGAACTTTTTTCCTTGACAAAAAAATTTTAACAAAACATGGAAGCAATGTTTTATATTTCTATATTGAAAAAGACAGTCTTTATAAAGTTGCATTCAAGTTCTACTAACTTAAGGAACATAAATGACAAAAGAAACTGTTAGTAAATGACATTTTGAAAAGGTTATTAAAATTTAGGCCCACTGCCTTATACTACTGAACACTAAGTGAAGACAGATCTGATCCTAGAACAAATGTAAAATGCTACTGTAGTAAAGATGAAAAACCATGTCTTAAAGCTAGCAGAATCAAAATATCAATATTGAGCAAGAAAAAAAATCATCACTCCTATCCAGAAAAGGAATTTCTTGCAGTAGTTTTGAAAACCTCATATTTTCCTTCATATATTCAGTACTATTCTAATGACACTAGTTTTCATCAAAATAAGAAGACACTTTGTTCTCTATTTGTAACATTTAGCAGTCGCAAACAGTAAAAGAATAAGCAATGTATTAACAAAAATCAGAATAAAAATCTGTGCAAATTACTATTTCCACGTATTCTCCCTGCTAAACTGTCACATCTTACTTTATGGGAGCCTCTTAAATCTATTTCTTTTGCTCCTCATAAGAATTTGCAGCCCTTTATAAAGCCTTCAACATGAAGGAAAATATTTACTACAAATAGTCTGTTTTGGTTTTTATGTCAAAGATTTGAAATAAAAAATTTATTTCAAGTCTTCCCCCTCCCCCACCCCAAAACCCACCAAGGATAATCAAAATTTATTAACAGCAAAGATTGATTTTTTTCTATTGCAAAGGTACTTACTATAAAAAAATTTTTTAATGTGGCAATATTTACAGATTCAAAAAGATTTGCCACACATTTAGGGACAAAAATTATTTTGGAATAAAACTACAATGAAGCAAATACATGTTTAACTTCATTCCCAATTTTTTGTATGACATTTTCCAGTAAGCAGAGTATTTTTACATACATATTCTCATTAGCTCTTCATAATGTTCCTCTGAGATGGGAAGACTAGGTATTGTCGTTTGCATTTTTTTGAGGGAGGGAGGGGCAGAGGGAGAGGGAAAGAGAGAATCTTAAGCAGGCTCCATGCCCAGCGCAGAGCCCAACGTGGGGCTCAATCTCACCACCCTAAGATGACGACCTGAGCTGAAAACCAGAGTTGGACACTTAACCAACTGAGCCCCTGTCGTTGGCATTTTAGGTAAAAACACTGAAGTTCAGAGAAGTTATAATTTGCTTAGGGTAACACAGAACTAGCATTTAGGACTCTCAGGTCCAGTATACATTCTATTAAATTTCACCATGTTGTTTCACAGGACATTTTCTTAAACAAGATAACCTTTTCTAAAGAAAGGGTAGGACCATTCCTTAGAACCATTACTTGTATTTTCTGATTTTTAGCTAAGTATAAGCTAATCACATTCATCAAAAAAATATTTAAATTGAATCCTGAAGATTATATCATTATGCAGAATAAATAAAAGTTTTTAAACATTTGGCATAAATGAAAAAAACTGCAAGAGCATTATATTTTGAAAATACTATACTTTTGAAAAAAATGAGCTATCACATTTTATATTCAAATTCATACAAATATTAGGAAAATGTTGAGTAAAATAGACACTACTAATTATACTAGATTACTGTACCTGCAGAAGTTGGTGGGAATCACAATAGCATATCCAACAGATGTTCCTCCTAAACAGTTACCCAATTCATGGAAGAGTCCATGAGCCATGGATTCCAATGGTAAAACTATCAGAAACATGCTCAAGAAGATTCCATTTGTTGGCTAAAAGAAATTTAAAACAGCATATTTATACAGTGTGTGTGACTGCATTTACGTGTGTGCATATGTACATATACATACATTTGCCCCTACTTCCAAAAAAGATAAAAAGAACAATTAATAACCTAAAAACAATTACAAGCTGGAGCAGAGAAGTATATATGGATGAGCAATGAAACCTAAATTAATCTGGAAGCTTCTTGGAAGTTGTGGCAAAACAAATACAGCACATATTTTTTTAATTTGCCAGGTAACATCCTACCCAAACTAAAAAACAAAACCCTCTTGCTATGACAGAAAAATCCAGAAAACAAATCCTTTCCTGTTAAAACATACTCTGAATCATTTTTCAAATAACATACTCATTTATCAGAAAAGTTACTTTAGAAAGGGCTCATTTTTTTTCCTGTGAAAAGTCCAAAATTAAATAAAATCTTACAGAAATCTTAAGATTCTAAAGCTATCAAAATGAATCCCATTCTTATATTTAAACTTTTAATAAACTTTTCCTTTGAAAAGCTCTAGACTCCGTAAATTCAAAGTTGTAAAAAAAAAAAAAAATGAGTGTGTGTATATATATGTTCTATATACATAAAGAGCATCTAAGCATCCTAAAAGCAGAAGAGAAAAAGGGAAGCAGAAAAACCCAGAAAAAATAAAGGATCCATTTAAGTGAAAAGAAAAGAAAATGGAATGATGATAGTCACTCAGTACTGATCTATAGCTTCACAATACTAATATTATTCCATATTCTTTGTTTTGCTACTGCACATAGTATATGGTTATGTGCTTCTGTGCATGAACATTCATTTTTCTAACGCTAAGAGATGGCTGATTCCTTCAGAATTTTAATAAAAAATAGGTGATTCCCATAATGGAAAAATGGGTATAATGCCCTATTTTGGCTATCAATTGCATAAAATAGGGTACATGCTCAATTTAGAAACATTAGAAAATACAATTAAAAGAGATAAGTGATTAAAATCATTGCAAGTATTGTCCTCCACACATTTTAAAATATTCTGACTTCAGATAATATATATTGTTTATCAAAGGATAATGTTCTGTATACTAATACATTGTAAGCCTATTAATATAATGCTAATCATTTGTAAAGAATGGCATTCTTATATGTATAAAATTTTAACTAGCTGATCCCTTATTATTGCTATTTAGATTCCATTTAATTTTCTATTTTAATAAAACCAGAATAAGTATTGAGTTCTCTTATTATTTCAAATCCCTTTGATAATTTGAGTTTCATCTTTGGTGAAGTGTTAAATATTTTACTCATTTTTCCATGGGGCTGCCTTTTTATTGATTTATAGCTTTGTTTTGCTCTCAGTATATTTAAGACTTTTCTGGGTTGTATGACAAATGATTCCCCCCGCGCCTTTTTTTTTTTTTAGCATGGTTTTTTAAAAAAGATTTTATTCAGTTCTTTGAGAGAGAGTGTACATGCACAGGTGGAAAGGCGGAGGGGGAGGGGGAGGGAGAAGCAGACTCCAAGCTAAGCGCAGAGCACAACTAGAGGCTTGATCTCACGACCCTGAGGTCACGACCTGAGCCGAATCCAAGTCTGACATTTAACGGAGACACCCAGCTGCCCCTTGTTTAACATGTTTTTAATTGTAATGTCACTCTGTGTAAGTTAAAGAAATCTTCCTCTACCCAAAGGTCAAAAAGATTATTTTACATTACCCTTGAAAGGCTTTATCGTTTTGCCCTTCACATTTTTAGGCCTACAATCCAAATGTAATTGATTTTTGTTTATGGTCCAACTCCATTTTTTCTATTTGTATACTCAATTACCAATCACTGAAAATCTCAACCATTCCACACTGCTCTACAGTGCCGTCTCTGCCATAAATCAAGTATTATGGGATTTGTTTTTATACTCTATACTGTTCCATTGGTCTGTTTGTTCTTTCAAATACTTCCTTTGGCCTTTATTTCCTCCTTTCTTTTGGGACTCCAATAAAATAGAGATCTTCTCACTGTATCCTCTTTGAGTCTTAGTCTTCTGTATTATCCCCATTTTTCTTTTGTGCTCCTTCTTGTATAGCTTCTTCTGAAATTTATCTTCCAATTCCCTAATGTTCACTTCAGCTTTATCTGTTAGTCTTACACACTGAATTAATTTCAGGTATTTTATTTTCTGATTCTAAAACTTGTTCTTTTTCAAATCTGCCTTGTCACTATTTTATAGTTTCCAACTTCCTACCATTATATACTATCTTTGCTTTTATTATTTTCAATCCTCTCTTTGATAATTCCAGTATCTCAAGATTTTCTGGTCATCTCGTCTGTTGGTCCTGCTGCTTATTGCTCTTGATGCCGTGTGTGTATATGTACCTGGTTATATTTATGAGCTGAACATTGTATGCAAAAATACACACGTGTGCATATATGTGTGTGCACATATATGTATATACATATGTATATATCATTATCCTAGGCCTGAAATTAGTCCTGTAACTACATCACACAGACACACACACACACACGACTAATTTCAGGCCTAGGATAATGATACCTTTCCCCAAGAGGAGTTTTGTTTGGTTCTTGCAGGGAGCTGGGGGCATTACAACTCAGTATCTTAATACAGGTTTGACCACTTAATCCAGGTCAGATCACTCACAGGACACAAGGTCAGGATGCAAATTCATGACAGCGCTGTCTTGGACACGGTTCCACCCTTTTCTTTCAGTGTGTCATCTTAAAATGGGAGGTAATTTACCAGAGACCCCACCTCTGAAGTCCTGGGCTTTGGTTTTTGCTCCTCTTGACGGCACTAGAAGTACCGCTCGGCTTTAACCCTTCCTTCCTCTGTTTTAAACATGTCCACAGGGCACAGTGTTTGCTACTATCCCAGAAAGTCTGATATGTATTTTCATTTATTCAAGTCTTCTTTCAAAACCTTAAGTGGAGTTTATATATCTTTGTAAAAATGTCTTAAGTTTCTTTTAAACCTTTTTCATTTTATGCTTGTTGTATGAATGGAATGATTTCCATTACATTTTCTGATTATGGACTTACAGGATATTGACTTTTGTATATTTACATGTTGTTATTTGCCACCTAAATGCATTAAAAATATATATTCCCACTATACACCATTTATTTCTTCTTATACTACCTACATCCTACAATTCCAAGAAAATTTACATAGTTTTTATCATGGCTAGGTTTTAATGATAACTATCCACAAAATCAACCTTTTATGACAGAGTTTAGAATGTTAAAGATGCAGCATAATTCTCACAACTGTTACTATAGCATTTTCAGTTGATTTTCCAGTTAACTCTTAGGTTTGCCAGGTAATCATCTTACCTACAAATACTAATAATTTCAATACTTTCTTTTTCTATACCTTCTATTGCATATGTTCCTCCAGGATAACAAAAAATCTTTTGTTTTTAGGGGTTTAATTGGTCAAAGGATTACTTCTACATTATGCCAGCCATTCATATGAAAGAATTACTTAATAACATAACCAATATGGCAACTTTATTATTTCTACCTTTAACTTTACATAAACAGTACTTTTCTGATCAAGATAGCAATGTAAGAAACTAAATAACTCACTATAATTTATAGCAAGGGTCACAAAAGCCTTCAGGGGCCAGAAAAGTGGTATGTGAAGCAGCTGTGATAAACAGTGGTAAGGATTCTAAAGGAAAGTGCACTGCTGCCTAAAGGCACACATTTTTTTTAAAAGGCATTTGTAAAAACTTATTGAAGTATAATTGACATACAATGTTGTACTGGTTTCAGGTGTACAACATAGTGATTCAACAATTCCATACACTACTCAGTGCTCACCACGGTTAAGTGTAGTCACTATACAACGTTATTACAATATTATTCATATTTCCTATGCTGTATTTTCATCTCTGGAAGTTTGTACCTCGTAATCCCTCTCATCTCTTTTGCCCATCATCCCACCCACCTCCCCTGTGGCAACTACCAGTTTGTTCTCTATATTTAAGAGTTTGTTAGTTTTGTTTAGATTCCACATATAAGTGAAATCACATGGTATTTGCATTAAAGGCACATATTTTTTAAAAAATGTTCTGGCTAGATAAGCTGGTCTACTCAATCTTACAGGCATGTTTATTTTTTATTTATTTATTTTGCTATACAGACATAATTACAGGATTTAAAAAATAGAATTATAAAAAAAAAAGCACCTTCTTAAAAAAAAAAAAAAAGTCCCTGCACGTTATTCCAAAAATTAGGATAGTTTCTAGCAGCAAAACTGAGAAGTTCAGGTTTGTACACAGACTTTCTATACTAGGAGTTACTAGGAAATTTCATGACATAGATATATAAAGATAATTCATAAGCAAGGAATTTGATATTCTAGAGTGGGGAACTAAATTTTGACATGTAAATTGCAATAGAATGTTGTACCATGAAAAAATGTTAACTTTTCATTTTGTTTAATCAAACCATTTTCCTTTAAGACTATTTATTAACTTGAGGTCTCCTCATCTTTCCTATTTCTTAAAGACAATGGAAATTTCCATTTCTGAAAATGCCCCAGAAATATTTAAATTTGGCCCTACTTATCAAATTATGTCAAGGGTACAGACTAGCCTTTCTTTAAATATTCATATGGACCCTATACCAATGGTTATTACTGACTTCTGTATTACCTTAAAGAATTTTATAAACCGGGGCGCCTGGGTGGCTCAGATGGTTAAGCATCTGCCTTCGGCTCAGGTCATGATCCTAGGGTCGTGGGATTGAGCCCCACATCGGGCTCTGGCTCAGCAGGGAGCCTGCTTTTCCCTCTCCCTCTGCCCCTCCCCCTGCTCATGCTTTCTCTAACTCTGTGTCTCAAATGAATAAATAAAATCTTAAAAAAACAAACAACTATTTAAAAAAAAAAATTTTATAAACCTACTAAGATTTTTTGTGAAATTAAAATATCCTAATTTTACCATTAGAAAAAAGCATTGCATTAATGTAGTTCACTGCTAAATTATAAACTATTT